ATTTTGTTTTCAGAAAATTTAGTACAACGATCCACGGAAAAATTCTTAGAAGAATTCTGAAAATTTTGGCTTTTGAATGACTGAAAACGACTTTGAAATGAGCCAAAACGAGCCAAAAAATCGATTGGACCAGGCTGTTGCCGGTCTAAGTACTGTGCTGGATTGGTTTGGATCAGCTGAGACTGAACCGGTATGAGCCGCTGGTCAACGCACAGGTCAACGCGCGGATCTGTGCGCGGGTCAGAACGCGGGTCGGGCGGAGTAGACGGACGCGGGTCCGGGCGCGGAGGGTCAACGCGCGGATCTGGGCGCGAAATGCTGGGCCGTGGCTTTGGGCTGCTGGGCTGCGTCGCTGGACTGGGTGATCCTTCAGGCCTTGGGCTGCTGGGCGCCTTCTGACTGACTTGGGCCGATTCCTGGATTGGCCCAAAAAATGTCTTTTTAATTTTGCAGCCCAACGGAATTGATTTTCTTGCAGTTACTCTTATTTTTGGGCCCTTTTTAATTGCTTTTGTTTTTGGCCCAACTATTTGAATTTCCTGAATTGTGTCTTCAACGGTATCATTACACAGGTTGTCTTCTCCGGTGACGGGAGTCGGCGACCACATACTAAAATTTGAACTTTGTGGATTAAATTTTCGCCCTTTTTCACAACGAATTTCACCACTATGATCAAAATTCTGTGAGGAACAACATGGTACCAATTTGGAGACCCAATTTGAACCGAAAAATATTTTATAAAATTTTTTCCAACGGTGTAATTCAGACTCATGTTCGGCAAGGTTTGGAATAATAGTATCACCAATAGTTATTTTCTTCGGATAGTTTTCTGGAAATACAATATGTTGGTGATGATTAAATAAACAAACCGAATTAACCAATGCCGAAGATTGACAATCAATGATTTTTTGAATTTTTGGTAAAAAGAGTTCGGAAAATTTTTGTTCTTCCGGACTATATTTCGACATCTGCAATAATATGTAACCTTGCTCTGATACCACTGAAAGATAAACTTGCAATGGCTAAGTGATCGGTGATCCCGTGAGGATATTTATCACGCAAGATGAAATAATCCGGAAACAAAATCTGGGTCTTGAAATGCTGGTTTTATAATGGATTTTTAATGAATCCAATGAAAACATTCTACGTGGTATTTATAACCACAATGGCACCCATTTGCTAAAGGTCATAACCTTTGGAAACAATGCACCCATTGAGTTCAAATTTGACTTACCAGATCATTCCGTTTTCTTGCAGGAAGATATACACCTATTAATTGGAAATGATCAAGTATGGAGAGGCACACCATATTACGATGTGGTCACATTTAATCTAACACATATCTCCCAAAGGTTTAGAGAGTATGCATGTCAAATTTTAATCACAATAATTTATAATTTTAACAATTTTAAGTAACCAATATCAATTTAGTTTATTGTTAAAAATACTACAAAAACGTCGTCTTAAACTACTTCTGCCTATAACCAAAACCAACACAAAATCTCATAATAATTTCACTTTGATTCATAACCAACCAAAACAATAATTAAGTTCATAACTAACTAACACAAATATTCATAATCAAATTACATGATTCATAACTGAAATTTATAAATATTCATAATTATAACAAGATGAAAACATTAAAGAATTACCCGGGAATTAAACCATACATCAAAGATGGGCGCCTGATAATCTTTCATTAGCAGCTTTGTCTTCAAGGTAAATCCCAAAGAAAAACCTAGCAAAACAAAAAAAATATTGGAGAAAACAAGAATGCCTATAGTAATTGATTGGGAACACCGAGGCTAATAAAGATTATGCAAATATGTTATAATATACACAACCAATGTACATGTGTACTAGGTGTGCACAATGAATGAAGTAAAGTTAAGATTACACAAATTAAGAATTTTGAAATAGGCAATTATAAAGGAATAATTTTAGAATGAGAAAAGTTGTGACAAAGTTTCAAAAATATTATGGACTGTACACTTTATATAAGCAGATAAATAAAGATTTTTAAGAGGTCAATTGCGTTAGTAATTGAGTATACTTTACACATTATTAATGAAGATTTGAATCACTTCTCATCTTTAAATTTTGAGTTTATCTTCATAGAATCTTTGCATAGATGGACTCTCAATTATTAAAAATATATATATTATATAATATATAAAGAAGATATCATGAAAGTACAGTAATATTTTTTTCTAATAAATGTATATTTTGTGTTGCAAATAAAGCATTTCATTAAAATGGTGTCTGATTAATCAAAACATGATTAAGAGGATGTCAATGGAGAGATCTTGTTAGGATCGTCCTAATCATATTGAATCATAGTCAGGACTCGTTTAGTAACATGCTTTTTCAGTAATTTTTTGATTTTTAGACTAAAATGTGATATAAAAAAAATTAATTTGTTTGTGATGACTTTTTAATTTTTTATGAAAAGATGTGTAAAAAGTATAGCGAAAAGGGAATCTTTGACTTTTTAGTATGAGTTGTTGGCTTTTTGATTTTTTTAGTGACTTCTTGGCTAAAATAGCCACTTGCCAAACAAGGCCTAAGGACTATTTTGAAAAGTGCGTTAAAAGTCACTTTTCAACTTTTAACTTACTTTCATCTCTCACAAAAAGCCAAAAAATAACTTTTAACCATTTTCTCAAAGCATTCCTAAACTTCTTATGTAAAAAAAAAAAAAGAAAAAAAAAAAGGTGGTCTATTCCCCTAAAAATAAATACTAAAAAGTTATTCAAAATTTCAAATCAAAAGCGTCCATTTAAGTTCATGAATCCTGACCACAGATTGTAAATTCTAAAAATAATTTTTTGTTTACTTTTTCTAGGGATGTAAGCACCCAACCATGTTCGGTTTGCTTTTCATAAGTTTATTTTAGAATTTTTTTAAAACACTAAAAATTAATTTGGTGAAAGAAATAAAATAATAAAAAATACTTATTATTTTTATATAATTTTATCTTTTCGAATAATAGTAATAATTTAAAAAAATTTAAAAAAGTAATATTATATCTATTAAATTTTGGCTTGTTCGAATCGCTTGAATTTGTATATACCGATTGTCCGATCAGCCATCCGGCAACATGGGTGAAAACTGAGATTGACAAGAGTAACAATCGAGCTTGACAAGGGTTGCATCGATCATCCAGAGTCGTCTAAGAGGTCGATCGGCATGTACAAATTCAAGCGATTCAGACAAACTCAAATTCAGTAGATGCATAACTTTTTAATTTAAAAATATCTTCTTAATATTTATTTTTATCAAAAAGGAAAAAAATTTCATTTAATTTTTGTTTGAAAAATAAACCAAACATGAAATCACTTTTAGAGCTCATTTGGGAAGGGAGAGTTTGGGTTTTTTTTGGCTAATATAGTCACAAAAAACAAAATAAGTTTTTTAGTTTAATAAGACAAAATATTATATCTAACCCATAATCATTATATTCTTTTTATCATAAAAAAGCCAAAACCCTTCCAAACAATACTTTTTAAACCTAAACTAAAATAGTTAAAAATTCCAAAAAATTAAAAAACCAATCCACTTTCCAAAACCCTTTTATTCATTTACAAAATGTTCATTATTTTAAAACGAGAAGGCCAGGAAATAGGACCATAATATCAGCTTGGCCCAGTCTCACTACAGGGCCCAACTAAATATAACCCACTAGGGCAAATAACAGGCCTTCATAATCGCAACCGTAAATGCCTTATAGGACATTCTCATCGGCTTACGCAGAACGCAGTAATTTCCCGTGGGGTATTATAAAAAGACAACAAAACCAACTCAGCATCTATATATATGGGCTAAATTACACTGACACCACCTATGATGTTTATATTTATTATAATTCTTCTCTTACATTTAGAAAATTACACTAATTCTCTTATTAATTTAATTTTTTATATGATGATCATTACGGTGAGGGAGAAATTATTATGAAACTTTAAACCTCAGGGAGCAATCTGTAATGAAACTTTAAACCTTAGGGAGGGGATGTAATTTTTAAAAAGTGAGAGAACTGTAATAAATATAAATCTCAGATAATGTCAATATAATTTACCTATGTATATATATATATATATAGGTAATGATCCTCAAAATTTTTATTAAATATTTTATATAGGCGTCGACGTACATAATGTGGTCTCAGTCTCACGCTATATAACTTATCGGGAGTGGTGACTTAGCGGAGAAGACATTTTTCTTTACAAACATGACTTAGATTCGACTCTTAAGAGGAGTAAAATGCTAGTCCTTTTAATGGCTCACTCCGATGATTTCGCTCTCTATTCCGATCGAAACTTGGACTCATGTATGTGACGTAGGGTTAAACTCTACTGATTCTTCGGCGATGGTTCCTTCCTATAAATTAAGTTAAATTAGGCTGTTAATCGATTATCTTAAGATCTAGTTCACAGATGCCTTGATAACACATCAGAGCATCCATTATTTTCTTAATCCAAAAAAACAAAAAAAAAGTCTCGCACAGAATTTTGGCCATATGTGATATTTGGTAAAATTTGTTTTAGGATAAAACGACATGGTTTTGATATATTTTAGCAAATTTCGGAACACACTAGTATTTTTATATATCTTCTATCTATACTATTATAAAGTGAACACCTTTTATGGTGTCCTGAAGCTTTACTCTCCTCATGCCATGTGGCAGTGTTTTTTATTTTTTTAAAAAAAGTTAAAAGCTTTACTCTCCTCATGCCATGTGGCAGTATTTTTTATTTTTTTAAAAAAAGTTAAATAAAGAGATGGGCAAGGTTTGAACCTTTACTCTCCTCATGTCATGTGGCAGTGTTTTTTATTTTTTTAAAAAAAATTAAACAAAGAGATAGGTAAGATTTGAACCCATGACTATGGATTTAAGTATAAGAACTCATATCACTTCAGCTAAATACACATTATAATATTAATTTTATTATTATTTTCTTTTATTCCTATTTATTTAAGTACACACTATAAAGCGCAGCCGCTACACGCACGTATACGACGTTTTGCTTTGCTGTTAGACTGTAGAATCATTGCCGGAGATGGATTGTGGGGCCGACGCCGGTAATTGGCCGACGGTGATGGTGACCAACGACGACGGAATCGACGCACCAGGTTTGCGAGCTCTAGTTCGAGTCCTCGTCTCCGCTAATCGATACGAAGTTTTCGTCTGCGCCCCTGATTCGTACGTCCTCTCTCTCAACCCTTTCTATATATGTATATACTTGTGTGTTTTTATGTATGAATGCGAGTTTTGTGCATGTGATTGCCTGTGATTTTTTAAATGTTGAGCTAAATTCTTGTGAATTATGGCTTTTAACTGATTTAAAACGTTTTTCAAGTTTTGTTATTTGCATTTCAGTGAATTGTTGTTCATGTTTGGCTGATATCATGTCGTCACAGAGAGAGAGAGAGAGAGAGATAGGTTTGGTTGTTTGGTTTGGCATGTGAAGTATTGCAGTTATGTAGAACAGAATTAGGAAACCAAGTAAGAATGGTGCTGCCCTAGTTTGATTTTGTAGTGGGTTTTGGTTATGAAAAGTAGGATATGTTCAGGGTTTTAAGAGGCAGAAGAGAAATTGGAATACTTAAGATTTAAAAAATTATTGGAATTGGCTGTTTCTTGTGGAAATAAAATGAAGAAGAGAAAGAACAAGAATCTAAAGGCTTTCACTGTTTCAACTTGCAAGGGTTAAGGTGCATCATCATACAAACCAATCTCTTCCATGTCTCAAAACTCAACTCCATTAAGATGGCATATTGAGCTTCTAAGAATTCATGTTCGAAAACTTTGCCTACTACTTAAACCACACTAGATTAATTAACACCACATAGGCACATATAACAACCCAATAACATAAACTTGCAATCTTATAAGACGCATGGACCGCATTCCTCTAATATAGAGACTCATGTTTGAGTTTCCTTAACATATCCGAAAAAATGATTTGTTAATTCAGGGTGAAGGAACATATGTAAATATTACGTAATTTGTAGTAAAGGATAAAAAAGGAGAATATCATTTTGTCTTGTTATTATTTAATTACAGCTTAACAGAGAATTTATTATGCATGCAAGAATTGACGTTTCAGATATAGCCTCATACCATTTTTCATGCGCTCATTGCACCTTTTCCAGGGAAAAGTCAGCTGTTAGTCATAGCATTACTTGGCGTAATGCTGTTTCCGTCAAGGAAGTAGAGATTGATGGAGCAACAGCCTTTGCAGTTTCTGGTTTGTTCCAATTTCCACTTCTCTATCTAGTTTTGGACTGAGCATTTCCGTGCTTTCACTTTAGTTAGCCAGTTAGCACATGACCAAATTGGATATGCTTGGTCTTTCTCCTTCCTTCCTCCTGCTTTGTTGTTTTAGTATTTTTCCATACAAGTGCTGATACTAGAATTTATGTAGGAGAGAATTTGTATACCAATGTAGAACTATGCTTTTTCATTCATGACGGGTAGATCGAAATTTGCCACTTACCATTTGATATTAGGGGACAAAAAGGAAAGAATGCATATTTAGAATTCAGAGTTAGCAAGTAAATAGATTCACCTAAACACAAACAAAAATGAAAGAATGCGGTCCTGCTTCTACATGGTGACAGGAGGCCTAATGGTTAGGAAGGTGAGGCTTATGCCCATTGTCACTGTTGACTTGTTTTACTAGACCTGGGCCTAATTGTGAGCTTTGTGACTGATATTACTCTTTTGTCATTGATGCTAAGGTTGGGCCAAAGAGCTGGACCGTGAGCTGTTCTGTAATAGCGTGACTTTATGATTAATCATGACATTTTTTTTTTTTGCTTACTCCAGAGCTGGGAAGAACAGACACTTCAAAATGGGTGTCGTGTCCGTGTCCAACATGTATCAAGCACCGGCACACCATGGACAAGCGTGTCCACGTGTCGAACATGCCATGTGTTGTGTCAATTATTTTAATTATTAATGTTTTTTTGAAAGACACGTTAAGCAAACTTCACGGACCTCCATGCGTGCCAATTTTTTTAATTATTATTTTTTTGCAGGACACGTTAGGAGCACTTCATAGATCTGCATGTCCTATGTTTGGACACACCTTATGACACCTTTATGGGTTTGTTTTATATAGAAAGTTGATTTGGGTTCAAAGTAAAATATATGGAAACAAAGAAGGGAAGAAGTAGAAAAAAATAAAATACACACTTATATACATTGATGTCTCTTATATCTTTGTACCCTAAGTTTATATTCATATATATAGCAAATAAGAAATATAAAAATACATATCTTTTTGGCCATATCCCCAGGCGTGTCTGTATCCTAATTTTTTAAAAATCGCCATGTCTTTGTGTCTGTGTCTATGTTTGTGTTTGTGCTTCTTAGATTCGAAGTATTGTGCAAATCAAAGCTCATAACGATAACCTCCAATATTTCTGTGTTTGTGTTAAAATTGATGTATTATTGATTGATATATGTTATTTATTATAAATGGTGAGGGGCTTCTTATATAGGAGATGTAGTGGAGTAGGTGGTAGTAGGTGGTAGTGGTAGGTGTGTAGTAGGTGGTAGTAGGTGGTGGTAGGTGTAGTAGGTGGAGTAGGTGATGGTAGTTTTTAACAGCCCCCCGCAAACTCAAGGGGGATAGGAACTAACCAACTTGAGTTTGGAGAGAGTAACAAAACAAGAAAATAATCTGAAAAATAAAAAATGGATAGGAGACACTGTATGGTCGTATCAGACCGTTGTAGAAGACTGTATGGTTATGGCAGACCGATGTAGAAGACACTGGCTCGTGTTGGACCGATGTAGAAGACAGTTTATGGGGTCATGTCGGACCGTTGTAGAAGACAGTTTACGGAGTCTTGCTGGACCCTTGTAGAAACTAACCGGAATCAATGTCGGGACAGTTTACAGAGTCTTGTCGGACCCATGAAGGAGCTAACCGGAATCAATGTCGGGACAGTTTACAGAGTCTTGTCGGACCCATGAAGGAGCTAACCGGAATCAATGTCGGGACAGTTTACAGAGTCTTGTCGGACCCATGAAGGAGCTAACCGGAATCAATGTCGGGACAGTTTACAGAGTCTTGTCGGACCCATGAAGGAGCTAACCGGAATCAATGTCGGGACAGTTTACAGAGTCTTGTCGGACCCATGAAGGAGCTAACCGGAATCAATGTCGGGACAGTTTACAGAGTCTTGTCGGACCCATGAAGGAGCTAACCGGAATCAATGTCGGGACAGTTTACAGAGTCTTGTCGGACCCATGAAGGAGCTAACCGGAATCAATGTCGGGACAGTTTACAGAGTCTTGTCGGACCCATGAAGGAGCTAACCGGAATCAATGTCGGGACAGTTTACAGAGTCTTGTCGGACCCATGAAGGAGCTAACCGGAATCAATGTCGGGACAGTTTACAGAGTCTTGTCGGACCCATGAAGGAGCTAACCGGAATCAATGTCGGGACAGTTTACAGAGTCTTGTCGGACCCATGAAGGAGCTAACCGGAATCAATGTCGGGACAGTTTACAGAGTCTTGTCGGACCCATGAAGGAGCTAACCGGAATCAATGTCGGGACAGTTTACAGAGTCTTGTCGGACCCATGAAGGAGCTAACCGGAATCAATGTCGGGACAGTTTACAGAGTCTTGTCGGACCCATGAAGGAGCTAACCGGAATCAATGTCGGGACAGTTTACAGAGTCTTGTCGGACCCATGAAGGAGCTAACCGGAATCAATGTCGGGACAGTTTACAGAGTCTTGTCGGACCCATGAAGGAGCTAACCGGAATCAATGTCGGGACAGTTTACAGAGTTTTTTTTTTTTTTTTTTTTTTTTTTTTTTTTTTTTTTTTTGTGTGTGTGTAAAATTGTGATCGGGGTTGATCCCTGAGATGAATAAAATATGGGTGTATTGTGCAAATCCGAATGGCTGGAAGCTACAAGACTCAGCAGAAAAAATGAGAGGGAATGAATATATATATATATATATTTTTTTTTTTTTTAAAAGAAAAGATAAAAAGTTGAGGTTCAAGGAGAAGTTGGGCGGTGGAAAGAAGAAAAAGAAATATATATATATATATATATATAAGATAAAGAATGTTTGGACGGGTCCTACCACTAATGGAAAAGTAAGATTATTGGGGTGCAAATCAATTTGTGTTTCGTTTTCTTTTCAAAAGATGAAGTAAAATAATAAAAAAAGAAAAAGAAAGTTGAGTGGGGAACAGGAGTGTGTGGAAAGAATGAAAAAGAAAAAGTATGGTTGAATTGCTCAGATATGTCTTGGCCAAAAGTGTATCCAGCACCACGTGGAGAGATTCCCCAAGCACAGCGATCATCAGGGTCGGACCATAACAGATCACACATAGGACCTTCATGTGGAACTTCTTGAACACGATCAAAATTCCGTATATTATCAAGGGTGTCAATGGATGGGGACAATCCACCATGCAGACAAAATATTTCTGATTCAACCAGGGCAGTAAGTGGGAAATAATCAAAAAGATCTGTAAATATCTTCCAAACATTAGCATTACCAATAAACTTGAGTAATCTGTCGACTTTCATGGATTCCTCTAAGAATAGCTTCCAGAGTTGGGGCTGCGATTTTGATTATGCAGGAGCTGATTCAGAGGTATAAAGTGACTATTGGGCCATTGGTGCCGCCGATTGTGTTGGCGATTGAGGTGGTGGATGATTATGATCTGTCGACGATTCGGACTGTGATGTCTGGTGCGGCGCCGTTGGGGAAGGAGCTTGAAGATGCTGTCAGATCTAAGTTTCCTCATGCCAAACTTGGCCAGGGCTATGGAATGACAGAGGCAGGGCCAGTATTGGCAATGTGCTTGGCATTTGCAAAAGAGCCCTTTGAGATAAAATCAGGGGCATGTGGGACCGTAGTGAGGAATGCAGAGATGAAGATTGTTGACCCTGATGCTGGCTTCTCTCTGCCTAGGAACCAACAGGGGATATAGGCTACATTGATGATGATGATGAGCTCTTCATAGTTGATCGGTTGAAAGAACTGATCAAATACAAAAGGTTCCAAGTAGCCCCTACAGAACTTGAAGCCCTTCTATTCAAACATCCTACCATCTCTGATGCTGCTGTTGTGCCGATGAAAGATGAATCAGCAGGAGAGGTTCCAGTTGCATTTGTTGTGAGAACAAATGGGTTTGAAGTCACTGGGCGTGAAGGTGGTGGACTCGAAGAAATTTCAAGGCATGTGTAGAAAATTCTAGCGGACTAGGTTGAGGTCCGGCGGGCGGCCAAGGTGAGGTTGCCGCCCGCCGGGGAAGCGAAAATATTAGGTTCTAAACCTGCTTTGATACCATGTTAAAATTGATGTATTATTGATTGATATATATTATTATCTTACAAATGGTGAGGGCCTCCTTATATAGGAGATGTAGTGGAGTAGGTGGTAGTGGTAGGTGTGTAGTAGGTGGTAGTAGGTGGTGGTTGGTGTAGTAGGTGGAGTAGGTGATGGTAGGTTTTAACAGTGTTTTTGAATTGTTGCAGAAAGAAGCTGCAAATACTCTTGGTTGCAGCTGGCATGGATGAATGTCTTGCTTCACATAAATCTATTCACAAGATGTCTGTCCTAAAACCACTTTCTGCTTCAGGAACAGAATTAAATGAAAGCCCAAGCATGCATTGGAATCAATTGGTTGCAGAAGAAGTGAAGGCAATCTCTCTTTAACAGTTTGTCACCAACTTTGTTCCGTAAAAATGTGTAAACTTTATATCACTATTCATTTTATCACAGATCTTCTCTTTAATACACAATATCATTATTTATTATCTTTATTGTCAATTACTCATTTTAGTTCCAAATTGCTTGTAAGACTTCGTTTTCTATAAATTAATATTAGATATATCTGCAGGAACCCCAGCGGATTGTACTTCTTTGGGAATCTCCAAAGCACTCTTCCCTTCAACGCCTGATCTGGTTGCCCATTTGCTTCTCTCTGTAGTGTGAAAATGTTAATGATTTCATTACTGGAGGCTATTAACTTAAATCATATATTTCCTGTCATGCTTCCACGTACTTTTTGGTGCATACTTAACTTGGGTGCTCTTCTTTAGCATTTTTTATTCTGTGCATCTGAACATGGAATCATGTTGGCCATAAAATGAGCCTGTGATAAACATTGAGATCTTATTGCTTTCACAGGCCACTATGTACTCTTCCCTGTTGGATAACACTGAACCTGTATCCTTGTTAACCAACTGCTCATCTCTAAATTATGGTCCCAATCTTGTTTTTCTTTTTGCAGATCTTAACTTATTTTTACCTCTGGTTACAGGTAATCAGCGGCATTAACATGGGTAGCAATTGTGGTTATCACATGTTAGTAGCTTCTTCTCCATGGTGCCTTGGCTCCTCTATGATTAGATGTCTTTTTACTATCTTGGATTTCTAAATTAGAAGTGCCTGTTTGGAAAGTCATAGTTTCAGTTTATTTGTCAGTGCAAAAGCCCCCTTGAATCTTTAAATAAAATTATGTAGAATGGAATGTGTAATCAAAGTGGACTTATCATATGATAGTGCTTTAATTGCATAGTGTTGTTGAACAGTTTGGTTCTATCATATGTCCCTTCAAATGGTATGGAAACAAAGTTAAGTAATTTTACTTTTGTATAAAGTCCAAACATGTCAAATTCAAATGAAAAAAAAGAAAAAAGAAAAAGAAAAGACTTCTCAACTTTTGTTGTCACCACTGCAGCTATTGCAGTTGCTGTGTTTACCAACTATTCTTTTGTCAGTTCTTCATTCTTTTATCTGTTGAATACACCAGGGGTCTTGTTTGTTTATGCTTGTTGCTGCACTGACTGGTTCTCATTGGAGTTGCAGTGTTTACTCAGGGACAGTAGCTGGTGCTCGAGAGGCCTTCTTTAATGGTGTACCTTCCCTCTCTATATCCTATGATTGGTATGTAGACTCTTTCATACACTCAATGCTTCATTTGGGAAAAAGGGTTTGTTAAACCAATATAACTGCACAGTGGATTAAAGGTAATATATTTAATTGGATCAAACTCAAATCCACATAAATTCGATCCAAGTAAGAGTCATATGTGATTAAATTTGATAATAATGCAATATATTTGTATGTATTTTGGTAGAATGGTAAAAGCTTAATAGTGGGTTCAAGTTTGTATGTATTTGTATGTATAAGAGTCATATGGGTTCAAGTTTTACAATAGCAACTTGTGCATATAATAGTGTTGAAATATGAATTTTTGTATTTATTTAAAATTAAAGGGTTGATATATTAAATTCAATATGACCCTAAAATGCTACAAAGCACTATTATGGTCCTAAAATTAATTCACTAGTGACCATAACCAACCAATTAACATATTTAATTTCTTTCATAAGAGTGCCTTAATGGTCATATTGAAGACAATCACTTTGATCGTAGTTTAAAAAATGGTGGCATGCTCAATGACGTGGCAAATTTGCTTCCATTAAGGCTGCATATTAATGTTCCTTTTATATAGCAAAGATCTAGAAAGTCATTTAGCAAATAAAAAAGTGTCTTGATTGCTACATGTCTTCAAGTGGTTGCTGGCTGGAAGGATGGTTTCAAAACAAACCAACAAATGAAGTAAGGCTCAAATTTGAAACTACCCATGTTGGTAGTAACAGAAGAAAAAAAATGATAAAGCCACCAGAAACCGCCCACTGACGAAGTGGGTGGTTTGTTCCTTCGATTGCCCAATATGGGCTGGGAGTTGATTTCTTCATGTTACTTAACATGGGGAGTGGTTGCAACTTGCAAGTCCTCGCTATTTAAATAGTGCAAGCAGTCACTATGAGGGAGGACACAATGGGCATTCTCTACACAGACCAGTTGGGCAGCGTTGGGTGAAAAAAAATATAGAAAGCAAAGTGAGAGCAGTTCAACACAGTGAGGGTGAAGAAAAAAAGAGAGACGGTATTCTGAAAAGAAGGAGAGCGTACCCGAAAAAGAATTGTTTCATAGGTATACTGTCTTCTGTAAATCTATTTCTCTTTCATCCTTTTCCCTCTCTTCCCATCTCTTTCTTTCTCTCTCACAGTTAAAAAAATCTGAATTTTCTCTTTTGCAAATCCTATATGAAAGAATTTACTGCATCAGGTGGGATAAAGTCTTCATTGACTAGTTGGCAACTTGGGACCATTTATATAGGTTGAAAACTTTTTAGCTGAGTTACAACCGATTTTTTTCTCCACTAGTCAATGGCTTCTCATAACATGATTTTGCAGTTTTAATACCTAGAAAAGTTTTACCTGAGTTAACTAATATAATGAATGCATCAAGAAAAATTGTTTATAAAGTTGGGCCATACACTATCTGGTCAATGTTGTGTTTTGTTGTTTCAACAAATACATTATCCTTGCCTCGTTTTATAGAAGTAATACATTTTTTGGATGGATGATCTGTTATTTTCTTAATGACTAGTTTGGGTGATTGACTTTCAGGATTGGCAGTACAAGCTGTATTCATGATTATGTACTGGCTGCTGAGGCTTGCTTACCCATCATAAATGCTATGTTGTCTGAGATCAAGAATAAAACTTACCCTCAAAAATGTTTTCTGAATGTAGATCTGCCAACAAATGTTGCAAAGCATAAGGTGAATCTTAGACTATCTTGTGGATGCCATTTTTGTGTCAACTAATTAAGAATGGGAATAAGAAAATTTAAGGAAGTTTCAACATGTTCACATCCAGTCAATGCATTAGCTCGCTGATCTTGTGGATTGAATCATTGAACCATTTTTTAGGCAGAGATTCTAGTAAAATGGGGCCCTCTCTTTAATATATAGCTGTCCCATGCTATGTATATGTCCTGCTTTGTTTTCTGATGAATAAAAAAAAAAAAGAGTCTGTCTGCATATCTGTGCCTTGTCCCTCTTTGCGGCTGTGTCCATGCTATAGATACTGCCAATGGGATTATCTGTTGATATTTGCATCTTTCTTTCCTATGCATGCAGCATAATAGATGAATAAGATGCGGTTTTCATTTTGAATTACACTGGCTGTTTACATGCATTCCTCAATTCCCCCCACCTCCCCCAAATCCACAATTTTTTTCCCCCTCTTTTATAATTATTACACTTTAAAGTAGAAGGCATAACTAACCGTGCTTCATGTGAAATTTTTTCATTTTCAATGGTTGTGTTTTGTTTGTCTCCATGTTTTTTGGTTTTAATAAAACTATCTATTGTCATTGTAAATTTTTATTTTTTTTTTTACAAAAAAAAAAAAAAAAAAAAAAAAAACTGCAATTCATGTTGATTGACATCATCATGGATTTTGAGTTGTGGTTTTAATGTTGTTTTGTGTTCTTCCTACAGGGATATAAGTTGACCAAGCAGGGCACAAGTATTGTCAAAATGGGATGGAGACAAGTTACTTCTGAGGCACAAGGGGGGAAAATGTTGTCAACAATGTCAATGGAAACAACTTCATCAACAAACAGTGAAACGGAGGACTCAGTTATGTCACAAGAACATCGATTATTCAAGAGAGAAGTGGGTTTTTTCCTTCTCCAACTGCCTATTTTTTATTATATTATTGTTGTTATTCTAGATTTGCATTTCTTGGGAAGACCTTACCTGGAAGCAACCCCCCCCCGCTTTAAGCGGTTCAATCCCCCCCCCCCCCAAAAAAAAAAAAATTTCTTATTTGTTTGTTAAATTTTTAATAAAAACTCTATATTTTATGATCTTTTAGGTCAAAGAAGCCATTGTTGACAACAATGATACAGACTGCCGTTCCCTCCAAGAAGGATATGTATGTAATATTTTTTACTTGGTGAAACTGATCTGAACTTGGCAGCCCATGATTAACCTGATGATTATCCATCTTTTCAGATAACTGTCACTCCTCTTGGTGCCCTATCTCATGCAGAGATAGATTGCCAGGCTTACTTCCAAGAATGGCTGCCAGGTGTTGCTGAACGCTTTTCTACTTCAGCCTTATGATGGAGTTCTCCTTGGGTAAAAACCTGCATTTGTTAGCAAAGAAACTTACATTTGTTAGTAAAGAAACATTTCTAGCCTCTCACATGGATGAGAGATAGAAATTCCAAATTTTCTCTAAATCCTATTTAATTTCAAGTAGTTTTTTCTATATAATTTACGACATCTTATATATAAATATTAAACAATATACAATATGTATATGTGTGTGTGTGTGTGTGTTCACGACGCTTCCCCATACACATTCAATTTTTGGATACATATTCCAATATCCTAAGATCTAGATTTATAAAGGTCCGATGTTTGGACACCACACCCACACCTGATGCTCGTACTAGAGTATGTGTAACATAACTTACAAGTATCCTTTTATTGAAGGGATGGATAAGCAATAATATTACCTCATTTTCATATATTTACTCCTTAAATTTCTTTTTAGATTGAACTTTATGTTCTTTAAACCAATAATGTTTGACATGTTGATGACAATAAGCTTTCTCTATTTTTATTTGTTATTCATTATTTATTTGTTCTTTTGCTATTTCAATATGTTGATTTTTTGTTTTTGAGTTTCTGTTGTCTGTAGATCCATCAAAGTTTGCGTTTTTCTGTTGCTTGTTTGTGCTATATTGGTCTCGCATATGATTGCCTGCAATAGGTTATGTTGATCCTAGAATAGGAAAATGAGTGCTCTGTTTACAAGACACAAGAAGTGTGCCTATATATCTTTTGCTTTCTCTGTTTGAAAATGCTGCCACCATTTTAATCTGGATTTTGTGAGAACCACATGAGATATCTGGGTCAATGCTCTTGTTCTTTAGCCTAGAACTAACATTCATTCGAATGGCCATAATTTTGTCTAGTGGTTTCAGTAAAAGGATAAAATACACTTTTCACCTTCCAACTTTCACCTGAATTTCAATTTGATCCCTCACATTCTAATTGTAACAATTGAGTCTTCAACTCTTGTTTCAATGTGGTCATCCCATCCCCTACCATTTTAAGTTCGAGTGAAAGTTGAAACATGAGGAACAAAATGAAATTTTATTGAAAAATCGGACGGTGAAAAGTGTAATATACCTATAATTTCTTTCTTTGTTTTGTTTTGTTTTTCCATATTTTCATCTAAAGCATGCTCTCGTGCCCCTCACATGAGCACTTTCTGTCCAAATTTTTAACGGCGATTGACGGGAGGACCACATTGAAACTTGGGTTGAAGTGTGAGGAAATAAGTGAGGGACCGAAGTGAAATTTGGGTAAAAGTTGATGGGTGAAAAGTGTATTTACCCGTTAGTTGTTTGCTTCTGATATGTGGGCCTCAATTGGTGCATCAGTAAAGTTGGTTTCCCATCAGTTTGATACTTGTCAAAATGCAAAATAATAAAAATAAATTCCCATTTTATGAACCTTTCCACTAATGCACTCATCAGGCTCCAAATTATCCGCTAATTGATTGCTTCCAATAGTTGTGCCTTGGAGCCGAAAGTGATTATTAGTCATCTCAGATTGATTTTTTTGGTAGGAGGTTCTTCAAGGTGATAAAAAGTGCAACCAAAGGGGTTGAAGCCTTTTTTTTTTTTGATCGGCCCAAGGGGTTGAAGCCTTGAAGGCTTATATATAGTAATTTAGAGCATGCAATCTGTGAAGTAGGGGTATGAGTACACTAATTACTCTGGCATTTTCCCTTTAAAGAGCTCCTTTATTTATTTTGTTCTGGCTTTAAGGAGTTCCTTAGTGACTTAATAGCGATGAAGGATAATCATTTCTTTAGTGTGAGCCTGCTGACCACTTTGAAACTAGATGGGTTGTTAACTGTAGTCCTAGAAACCACTTGGATTTGCAATCGTAACTCATAACCATTATAGCCCATTTTTTTTGTTGTTTGAACAAGCAACAATAGAATTTTATTAATAACAAAGGATAAAACAAGTGGAGGACAAGAAGTCCTCATACAATGACTCAAGGATCAAAGCATAAATCTAACCAGTAAAAACTGGAAAACTAAAAGGAAAACATTCCACCACTAAGGATGGCAAACAGTAGCCCAATCCCTAGAAAATATGACCTATGATATATGGCTTGTTGGACTTTTGAGTCTGAATCTATTTTTAGGTGAAGCGCTATCATTTCTACCTTTGGGTAATTTGGATTACATATGAAGCATAGCTTTGTAGGCACCGTTCATCTTCAGACAATTTTAGCATTTTAGGTATTGGTTTCTTCAGTCAATTTTACATTTTATGCATATCAGACTTAATCTGTTCAGATGTAATGTAAGCAATCCTTCAGGACATCCACTCTAGTAACTCATTGGTTGTAAACAAACCGTCATAATGTTTCTAACTGTGTTCCCCACTTCACAATTGAAATAAGGACTATGTAGCCTCTCAGTACATCAGTGTTAATTTAATTTCAATGGTTATGGTTGAATACGAAAAGTTACAAAAATTCACTTATTTTTTCTATGATACTTAAAACTTCTGATAATCTCACTGTTCATTTGTGGCTGAAAATGCTGCCTTTTGCAGGATCTATGCATTTAAGCTGGAAAAGGGTTCGACGCGAGCCATGCTAAAGACACTCCTTGGATTCCTTGTGTGGATAGGGCAGCACCATTCTCACTGAATTGTGATGCTTTCAGGTGGTTCTTTCTTTCCATAAAGAACACTTATGAGACATTTATGAACCTTCTATTTCACTAGGTTGAAAACTTAAAATAGTATTTATAAGTTTATTTGTCAAACTAATAATATTCTGAATATTTCAAAAAAATTATGATGCTGTTTCAGTCACAGCACCCAATTATGAATGCTTTAAAAACATTTTCCTGCCTCTGTTTTCCTTGAAAATTGGTGAAATGGAGTAAGCTATGTTGACAGGATAATCAATTGTGTAGTTTTCCGAGAGTGGAAAAAATGTGTCATAGAAGTTGGCAAAACTGTGTCATTGGACATCTTAAGTTAGATTGCTTGTCAGAAGTGTTAAGGTTAAGTTAGTAAATACAAGTGAGAGAGAGAGAGAGAGTTGCATTTATAAAACTTCTTAGATGATAGCCAATGACAGTAAATGCTTGTGGGTGTATCACATATTATGATAAATAAAATATGGTAAAAAAATATGTCATCATAGTATTATTGTTTTATCAATATTGCAAATAGCTTGTGCTTGCAAGTTACAACAAAGAAGTGAAATTTTTGTAATTCTGATTGTGTACCATTTTTGTTGAGAATTGGCAAATTAAGTAATATAGATGGAGTAGGAATATTATTTATCTCGTTTGCTTGTGTAAATAAATAGATGTGAATATTAAGTTAATTATCTTCTTTGCTTGGTAACTAATAGATGTGAATAATATATTATGTTTATTATCTTCTTTGCTTGATAAATGATAGATGTGAATGTTAAGTTGTGTTCAAATATGGTGAATAGAAGTATACATATTATGATCAACTTCTGGAGAGATCAGTTTGGCCTCCTATTAGTCACAACCTTTATCTTTCTGTCTATCTTAATTTTGCAGAGAGAAGAGAAAGAAAAAATAAAATTACCTTCCACTTTATTTCTCTTTTTTATTTTATTTTCTTTTTTTATGAATACATGATCCAAATATAACCCTACTGTCATAGGATTCTAGTTTTGTAAAAAAGTAAAACTTTATTTCCTGTATTAGGATTTTTATTGTAAATTTCTATACTTACAGAAACATGAGGGTTCATTTTCATTTATTTTCTCAACAAATAATTAGATTCAAACATAGTCTAAAAATTTATAATACTATAAAGACTATGAAGATGACATGAAAATCATGCTGTCCCATCCATTCTATAGTTTTCACAAGTCAACCTCCTCTCTATCTCTTTGCCACCTCAACTGCTAGAAACAGACAAAGCAACAAGAAGAAGCCAAATAGAATGGAACTGCCTAACACAATCTACTATTGGTTCTTTAAAAAAATATTACAATAGTAGGCAGCAGATCATCTGTCTGGATCTCCCCCCTCCCTCAGCTTCAAGGTTCTTCTCCACTGCACAATCTTGTCATAATCATGTCATAGAGACTTGTTGTGTTGTAGAAAAGTGGCTTGAAACAGAGGGATCAAGAGAATCCGGACAGAGAATGTGGCCTCACGATAAGAAGCCTTTTCCCACTCTCACCCCCACCCCACCCCAGCCCGGAATCTACTTCATTCCTTCTAGGATTCATATTTTGAGGTTTTTTTTTTTTTGGAAAGAGCAGACAATATTTGAGTAAATTAGAAATACATAACTTAAAATATATACTTGCAAAAAGCAAAAGGGAAAAACCAACCAAAAAACTTAAACATGACATGACTTGTGATGTGTACATACTGAATATCTCTCATATGTTTTGTGGTGATGTTTGTGTGTGTGTATGTATGTATGTATGTGTATGCCTTTTTCTTCATTCATTTTGTTGATGGCAAAGAAGGTGCTTGCAACTCCACAAGTATTGACCACATCACCTGCACATCTTCACAGGGGCATGACTTCACATCCTCATATAGAATGTATATCCCTCTTCCTGATATATATGAATATATATACAACAAAACATGCAAATAGGTATGAGAAGTGAACGGATGAAGCAGAAGTACCTAAAAGAGTTTTATAGCAATCATAACTGTTAGGCAATGAATCAGCTATGAACCGAAATGTGCGAATTAGTCTATGCACTTGATTTTCATTCCTATTAATATACTTGAGTGTATTAGTCTAGGCTGATATTTAAAACTATGGTCTGAATACTCTTTTGCAATGCATATTAAGGTAAAGCAGTTGAAATAGAGAATCTCCTTGAAGTAGAAAACTTGTGCACGTTCTAAGTTCATGCTACAATAAAGGGAAAGCAAGAAAAAATAAACAAAATGAAACGTAAAGTGAAGGAAACATTTGATCTTTCTAGCGTTTTCAAGCAAAGAGAAATAGCCAAACTCAAAAGTTGAAGGACTAATGAAGAGCATGAGAAAGTATTAGAAAAGATTGGAGTTGTGGGAGTTAATTGAGAACATACTCTTCTTTTGAGCTGAGTGTAGTTTAACCCATAGCTTCTTCAATGGAGAGAAGAGGGACTGAAACCAACCCATTTGGAGAAGAAGTGGGGTGTGTCTCTCATGGTAGGTGAGAGAGGGGGGAGAAATAGGAGAGAGAGAGGTAAGAGAGAGAAACTGGTGGTTTGCTTAGACAGGGGTGAAGTTTAGGTCAGTGTGTTTTCGAGAAACATTACATTCTCTTGCAGGCCAATCATGCATATCACATTTCCTATTGGTGCAATGTCAATGTCACACCCTTTTTTCTCTTGTAGAAGAAGGTGCCACCTCACCAATCAGCAGTTCTTTTCACACTTCCACAATTCCCCCCTTGTATTCCTTCCTCGCAATCAGCAGTTTGTTTTTGTCCCAATGTTCTAATACACTCACATTTCATTCATGTTTTTGTCCTTATGTCCCGAGGCACTCGCGTTTCATTTACAAACATTGGTAAACAAATGAACATAGGTAAACAGGATAAGTTATCTCGAGAATGGTAATTTTAGAATTTTGAGGAAAAAGAACAAAACAATCTAGCATATGTGGGATAATGTTAGTTATCCCAAGTCGGAAAGTTTGAACAGAGTTTGAATAGAAATCGAGATTATTCTATTCAATGATTCTATTCAAGTGTTTTCTTATTTGCGAATCAAACCCAATCTTATAATGTGTGCCCTGAGATTCTAGAGATTTCTATCATATAATGCAACTGTGAATGTATTTTTAAAAACTCTCCATTTCACAATATATGACTCCGAAAGTATTAGGAATCTCTGACTGTAAATATATTGGGATAGAAAAAAAAAATTAAATTTAAATAAAAATCCCCAACTCTCATAAACATATATCCCTTACATAAAGATTGGTTTTTTTTTTTTTTTAACTCAGTTTTAAACATATATCACTCATTTGTGGGTTTCTTTTCCATTTTGGGACACTTGTTGTGTTTCAAGGAAACAAACCTCTCTTTTGAATAGTCAGGTATAAGTATCCATCTCGTATTGGTTCATTTGTACCAGAAGGGTCTATATGTGTTTATTGCTTGCCCATACATACACATATCTTATTTTTACGATACTCTTTGGAAGGATCAGATTGAGGGTACTTGTTTTGCACTTGTTAGTTGGAGTAACCAGAAGATGATTTGATTATTATAGAATTATATAGTTGTTGCAGATTTGATTTTAGATTTTTATGCTAATCTGAAGCTTTGTTTAAGCTGAACTTCAAAGATCTGATTTTTGAAAGAAAGCTTGTTTGGTATCATTTTTAAAATTTTTGTTTTTATTAGAGTTTTTAATAACTTATTTTCTGATTTTTTGGAAAAATAAACATAAAAAAGGTCTTTATGAATTTTTAAAAATTATTTCAAGCTCAAAACAGCAAATCATATGAAAATAATTATTTTTTTATTCATTTTTTATCAAACTAGTTTTAAAAAATTTTAAGAATACAAATTCTGAAACTCCTCAACCACGTAGAATTTTATGCATTTTAAAGGACTTGAAATACAAAAAGTCAATTTCTTTAGAAAATTAATATTCGGTGGTAGAGACAGTCTTTTAAAATGAATAGTAGTGGAAAAGATTAAACTTCAATATCAAAGTAGATGGATGTAACACCAAGGCTTTATTTTTTTATTTTATTTGCATGTCGTTTTATGAAATTGACATATTAGAAAATTAATTGACCGAAGTTCTTGGTTTGCATATTCATTAAAAACAAAAGGCTTCATATTTACTTGTTCTCAAATATATAGTTCTCTTTGTTGTAACTTACGTGATGTGCTACTATTTTTTTTAATTTTAGAAATTTATGTCAGAGTATTACTATTCGGTACAACTTTTATTTATAATTTATGAGCCAAAAATAACTTAAATAAATTAAAAATTATTAATTATTGATAAGTTAGGAGAAAGATTTTGATTATAAAATGAAAAATAAACCTCAAATAATCTTTTTGTTTTATTTTATTTATTTTTTTTTGTTAACGCTAAAGTATCATTAAGTCCTACGAAAATATTAAAAAAAAATTAACCTATTAAATATTTTCATTTTTTAAAATTTGTGGCATTTCTCTTCAGCAAACAAGTAAGGCCCAATTCTACTACTTTGGAAATAGTGGTTAGGCCCATTGGATAATTGATCCATGGGTTAAGATCACTGTGTAAGATTGGTATATGTTCCACATAATCATGAGCTACCCTTTCATGTGGAAGTATGAATCAATGATGTAATAAAAAAAATTGAATCTCCGATAAGTAGTTGCAAGATAAGAGATGATTAACTTATAATGTGTTTGGTTGAGAGATTTAGGAAGGAATTTAGAAATAGAAAAGGAAAAGATATGTAAAACTATGTGAAATGTAAGTATATTCTATTTATATTTCATTTACTTTTTCTGTTTTTCTTTTCAAATCCCTTTTCAAATCTTTCAACCAAATACAGTATTAATATAATTTGTGATTTGTCGGAAATACCACGTAAGTAAAGTTTCTTAACACTCCAAGATTACCTACTATTTGCTTTGTTCAAGTATAATATAAAAGTCTCTGTTTACCCAAAAAAAATAAAAAAAGTATAATATAAAAGTTTAAAAATTTCAAAAAATAATTTTAAATTTAATTTGTTTATTTTTCAAATTGATTTCAAACGAGTTTCAATCAAGTTGGGCTTAAATAGTTTAATTTTTTTACACCATTCTATAGTCAAGCACAAAAAATTAATAAATTTTAAAATACATTTAAATTTAATTTATTTATATAATAAAGAAATTTCAAATTAATTTTTAACAAGTGAAACAAAAATCATTAACCCTATATGTAAAAGACAAAATGAGGACTATAAGAGCAGCAAAGTACAGAGAGATAAACTTGAAAAAACTACTGGGCCCATTAGAGAGGCCTGTGGTGATTGTATGTTTGGTGGCCCATTATTTGTCTAAACTGGGGAGAAATAGTATAATCTAAGGGGGTGTTTGGGAAGAAAAAAAATAGGCTAATTTAGGTTAAAATTCACAAAAAGATAAAATAGGCTAAAATTACTAACAAGACAAAATATCGCATCAAACCCATAATCATTTCACTTTTTCTCTCACAAACATCACATCCAACCATAAAAAAATCCAATCATCTTCCTAAATACAAAAATTTTAGCCTACTAAAATAGCCAAAAAATAAAATAACCTACTAAAATAGTAACTTCCCAAACGAAGCCTAAGTGGCTAAATAGATAATGCATATGATATGTCACATCATAGTTGCCTTGGCCTACTGGCAACTTGAATTTGTACCCAAATGATGGAGCATATTCAAATGAATGAGAAATAAATCCAAGTTTTTAAAAATGTTCTCTATTTAATTGTTTCTTTTTTTCAGTACGAGTTTACGTTACTGTAGTGGGTCTAAATAATTCTTTGCAGGATAAGTTTGCGTTTGTCATTAAAATGTGTGCAAGCATATGAATTTTTAGATAGAGTTATCACGATACTTAGGACTATTTTAAAAAGATGATTATGACCAACTTTTTAGTTAAAAGTTTATTACAAGCTGATTATAATCAGCGTTTTGTGAGAGAATTCCCAAAAGACCCCTTAGATTGATTGTGTTGTGTAGAATTTTTTGTTTTTAAAATGTTAATTTTCTTTCAATGCAATTTTAGTTATACTATTTTGTCTCGAGATTATCTTATTTTGAAATTTCCTCCACAATATTTGATGGGCTTTTCCTATACTTTTCACACTGTTCTTTTATCTTATTTGGTTTGAAAATTTTAAAAATAGTTTTTTGAATTTTTAATTCGTTTTTTTAAAATATTTTAATCAATATATATATATATATATATACTTTTAGATCCACTTAATCTTGATATACTTAAGAAGTGTAAAATTTTTACCAAAAAATCTTTAAAAAATTCATTGACTACAATAAAACAAGAAAATGTACTAGATTTTCATATTTTTTAACATGTTTTGTATTTAATGAATTTTTTAATTTTTTTTCACAAATATTATATTTTTTAAATATATCTAAAAAATAATAAATTTGTGTAAATTTTTTTAAAAATTTACTAAAAATAAAAAAAATAAAAAAAAACTTAAATTTTAAAAAACCAAAGATAATCAAATAAAGCGATAAGTATTCTTGAAATTGATTCCTAGATATCATTTTTAAGATTTAAGTTTGTCCATGTGTGTGAACCACATAAATTGACGGTTCCAACATATTTATAATATTAAATCATTTTTCCAAAGTTTGGACAGGTCATTTATTTTTTCCTTTTTTTTTTTTTTTTTTTAATATATATTTTTTATAGTAATAATAGAGACCCCATAAAACACAACTCTCATGACACGCAAAACAATTTGGACCAATCATGTTGCTGTCAAAGATTAAAAAAAAAATTAAACATATTAATAATCAATACATCAATGAAGATTGTGGAGTGAGGGTCCTCCTTCTGTGAGATCCCAAACATTTTCCTATTTTTTATTTCTGGTATTGTACTTCTCAATTATTTTCTGATATTTTACCAACAGTGTTGGTGGTGATAAGGTTACAGGTTACAGGACACTCTCTCTGTCTGTCTCTTTATTTTTATAAAAATTTATACAGGTCTGCCACTAGAATGATGTCCGTTAAATTTCTCTAATTAAATATTATTTTGATAAACAGTATATTTTAAATTGTTTAAATTTTAATACAGTTACATAATCCTTTAAATAAATATTATATATATTATAGGTAAATTAAAAATACACTATTTGAAATTTGTTTAAAATACGGATTGTTTCTTATGGTTTGAAAACTTACAAATACTCCCTTGAAATAAATTTTTATTTCAAGAATTAACTAAAAAAATGAAATTTTTATCTGCTCTCTCATACAACGATAAAATTATTTGAATTATTAATTAAAATAAATTTCTGATATTATTATAAAAAACTATTATTTGACTTGATAATTTATTAATAAAATGAATCATTTATTATAAAATTATAAATTTCAAGGAACAAAGAACAAATCGTAGCTCAAACAAATTTCAGATAATATTTATAAGTTATTTATTTTTTATTTATACATCATTACTCTTCAAAAACCTGTTCCTAGATGGCAAGCTTTTCATGATTGTTGAAACTAGGGCAAAGACCACCTTTCATTGGTTAGGCTTTAAAAAAAAATGAAAGAAAGAAAGAAAGAAAATATTTAC